CAACCTGGTTTTCCAGCAGCTGCACTCACACTGAATTAGTCAGGGGTTGCCAGGTTGCAGGGAGAGAGACGTATAAGCCTTGTGCTGTTGTGGATTGTGAAGGTTTCTTAGGTTTTACAGACTACCTGGAGACTTTGGTACCTTCAATAACAATACAAACCTTAAATATCAGTAAATGCGTATTTGTTTTAAGTTTCCTGAGAATTTCAATAAAATGGGAAGAGGGTAGGAGACCGCCTTCACACACACAAACAAAAAAACTGGAAAAACGTCAGGTATGGTATGAGTCTTCAGGCCTTGTGCTTTTCTGTTATATCATAATGTGAAACTATCGTGGCCCTGAAGGTCAATGGCACCAATATTTTAGAAAGGCAATAAATATATGTTTCATGAAACACAGAAATATTTCATTAAATGGAAAAAAAATATTTTGAAACACGAATACACTTTTCACACAAACTAAAAATATATTCTTCCTATATACTTCAAACAAAGCCAGTGCACCTACGTTCCCAGATTATAAATTTTTAAGAGGAAAGTTGGAGATTAAGGCCCCCTTTATGAACAAAACATATGCCAAGCTGGATTTTAAGGTTATGACCCAGTGCACAGAAACATCATTTTAAAATATGGGGGCAGCTGTTTACATTGAAAGCAGGTACTTCAATAATGTTGTGAAGCAGGACACCTGACACACCTGAGGCATAAGCCTCACTTTCTTTTCTAAAGTCACTCTGAGCTCTAATGAGTCCTGACTCCACTTTGATCGACTAAAACAAGGACTTCTTTCAGGAGAGCCGTTCCCAGTCCATCTGGAACAACTTTAAACATCCAACAATCTGACAAAATATCTTTAAACGTCACAGCAGTGAGGAAGAAAGGAGCAGGATCATGTGACCTGCGAGAGATTTGACAGGGTGTAGGAGTCGGTCTGAGGGTTTCTGGAACATTCCTGCTGTGATGATTGAAGTCGTTAGCGTGTCTTCATGCACATTTGGATGTTTTTGATTCGCCACAGAACCAAATAATAGAGTGGAAAAAGGAAAAAGATGTTTGAAGCGTCTTGAGAATGAATGAAGATTTTTATAGAAAGAACAAACACATGAGTCAGGCATGAAACACAGAGGCTGGAGGCAAGATAATTAAGATATTTGGGCTAACATGACTGTCTTCCTCTGACTCTTCCTTTGTATATTATTGTAAACGAGCCAGGCCAATTAATCACACATCTGCACAAATAGAGACACGGACATGCACTTCTTTTTTTTTGGGTCTTTAGAGTGCAAAACAATCCAAGCTATAGCAAAAACTGAGGTTTTCTATTCCACCAGTTCATTCACTAAAACCTGTACTTCAGAATCATGGGTTACATGTTTTCTTTCTTTCTTAGCTGTGTGTCAAAGACAGTGAGGCAGTGTGGTTGTTGTCCTTGTCTCAAATGACTTCCTGACTTTAGTGCAGTTTGGCTGCTGTTAATAAGTTTGCAGACATCATAGTTTTTCAAAAAGTTTATCAGGAACAGAAACACGACTTTTTTAAAATCTCTGTCTTGTTGGTTTATTTTCTTTTAATATAATAAAGTTTTCAAAGTCAGACAAAAACTTTAACCATTTGATATTTTTGTGGACTTGTCTGGAACCTTTTCACAAGTTTTTGTCTCGATAAACAGGATCCTGATAACAATATCTTTGCTTACATTTCACATCCAAATAGTAATGTCTTTTGGGTGATTGAATCAGCCTGCGGCGCTTCCTCTTATAAGAGTACCTTGATTAACGAGCAAGATTTCTGTCCCGCTGCCAGTTAATCCGAGCCAAAATATTTTATTCAAGATAAACAAAAGTGATCAATCTTTGCTGTTAGAGCAAGAAATTACACAACTTATGATGACTGTTTGACCTTTAATTCTACTTTGTGTTGTTAGACTCTTTACATTTGTAACATCCAGTAACAGACGACCACACAGTGACCTGTGTGAGCAGCGTGTCAGAGCTACAAGTGTTAAACTCGGCTCCAGTGTTCACTTACTGAGTACGCTCGATCCAAACCAAACAGATCTGCAGGTTTTCATTTCAGACCTTTCGCTATTAATGACTGAGTCAACATGAAGTCATCAGCAGAGAATTAATGTGTGTACGCGCATCTGTTTAAAATGGACAGACTTTCACTTGAAAACCCCCCAGCACTGATGCAGAGCTGTGGGAGTTAGCCTTCCATGCCTGCATATTTGTTTGTGTCTAAATAGCTTTTTTTTCTTATGTTTCTTCACACTCTCTTTTTAATCTCAGACCTGCTTTTGAGTGAATCCCAGTGAATCAAATAGCACACCCTTCAAGTTGTGACTGAACTGCCGTTTGCTGATATTAAAAGCACAAATTTGTCAGGCTGTTATGTGATTGGCTGGTTAAGAAGAGATGGTGATTCCAGATAGCTAGTTTTAAGGCCTGCCCAAGTACGAGACAGTCCCTAAATTTACATGCAGTTAACAAAATTAACTTATTGCAATATTTTGACTAAAACCGGACTTTTAAAAAACACAAATTTGTCAGACTAAAATCACACTAAATCAAAGTTCTCATAGTTGGACTAAAATATCTAAATAATGCAGTCAGGAATTGATTTTCTCTGTCATGTATACGACTCAATCGAACAGCAACTGGCCTAAATGTTTTGTGTGTGCCCCAGTGTTTGCACACGAGGCTTTGAGATGAGAAGTTGAATCGCATGCTAGGGAGCCATGTACTTAACTGTACTGTACTCAACACTTGGTTTGTTAGCTATCAAGGAAGTTAACAAACCTCAATAGACAAAGAAACCATATACCGCTGTAAAAGTGATGTTTCCATCATTCCACATAAATCCCATTAGCCTCTTGCTAAGGCATTTTGCAAATTGTAATTTGTCAACCAGGGGGCGACCCCATAACAATGAGCTGAGATGGGGTATGTCACCACCTGCTGTAGCAAGGTGGACATGCTTCTGTCAGTAATTTGATTCTTTTTTTGTGTTGTAAACTAGAATAAGGACAGTAGTCCAGTTAAATTGCCTAACTGAGCTATGGCTGTCGCTCAACTTGTGAATGTACTAAATAACATTAACAGCTTCATGAGGGTCATTATGGTTTCCTGTAAAGCAAAGCATTTGTTTGTGTTCAATTTATTGGAAGAGACATTCAAACTCTCACAAGTAAGTCAAAAAGGTATCTGTCTGCCTATAGCCATGACAATACTGTGTGTGAAATTTTGTTAGATGTACCTGGAAGCTAAAGTAACCTTGAAAATGTTCAAGTTTTTAAGTGTTTTCAGTTTATTCCCAAAGCTATATAGACTATAGGATTGGGTAGTCTGCCACAGGACCTGTGGGTAGAAAAATTCACTGCAATAATTCAAACCCCTGTAGGTGTGTATGTAAGCTGAAGTCTCAGCACAGACTAAATGTTAACTTTACCTGTGTGTATGTTTCTGTGTGTGTGCAGTTAAAATGTTTGGTGGATCAGGTTTGACTTTAATTTTCTGATGAGATTGAACAAGAAAAAGAAAACAGTTGGAAGTTTCCAGACTTGCTCATGGCCTTAAATGTTGCATGACACAACTTGAAGGCTGGATGTGAAACGTCTCACCTGCAGGCTGCAGCTTAGCTCCCCCCTCACCCCGCTGTCACTCATTTCAAAACTGTGAGATGTCACAGAGCCTGAGGCTGACAGGGCGAAGTTTCACCTGTGTTTCTGCTCTTTAAGATCCTAGCTTCTGTGAGTGAAACTGACAGATGATCTAACCCACATCTTGTTTAGATTTAGCCAGAATTCAAGCTGCTGGCCATTAATTTTTACAGCTACAACTTTATCTTGTTGCTGCTCTCATCAACTGTTTCATGCCAACTTTGCAGCACCAATGTTAGCAAAAACCTTGAGGCAACATTTAGCAGTACTAACAAACAGAAACAGTTATCAAACAGCAAAAGCAGCAGAAGAATATTATATTTGGCGTACATACAGAGGGACTCCTCTATACAATAAATACACACTGAAAAACAGCCCTTTGTCCCCGCAGTAGGAAACAGGAGCCACTTTAATAAGGCCATGTAAGGTCATAGAAAAACAGAGCTCTATTTAATGCAGGCACTAGATGCATTCTCAACCTGGATTAGTCGACACTACCAGGAACAAGCTTGATTTAGTAGTCTTAAAATCATTTCTTCAATAAGTGATATCTCCTGAATGAGTCCTCACTGAGTGAAACTTTTAGCTATGTGATTGAA